GCCATTATAAAACAGGCCACAACGGACAATCTTATACACACATCCTGGTATATGTAGGCAAATATGTGCGTAGGAAAATTCCCAGAAGTGAGATGGCTGGATCCAAGAGTCAATGCAATTATCATTTTGAGGGATATAATGCAATTGTCTTCCATGCAACTGGCCTGTTTGCCCCTCACAAGCATCATAGGAGAGTGAGTGCCTGCTTGGGAGAGGAAATGTTTGAGGACAGATGGGCCCCTGTGCTGGGGGCACCCTGAAGACCCCCCTGTGATGGAGAGGTGCTAGTGGCACCCGGAGAGCACTGTAAGAGTCTAGGGGGTGTCAAGTCCACTCAGCTTTCTCTGGGTCTCGGAAATGCTCTGTAGCACGATTGCCCCTGGGAGCCCCCTTTCAGAAAAGAGCCTTGTGAAGAACTCAGATCTGATTTGACATCCTCAAGACTGATTTTTTGAGCCTATGAGACTTTTGGTGTCAGTGGCTGGAACCCTGGGTAGTGACAGGAGGGTAGTGGGGACCACGGAGAGAGAGAGCACTGGCCTGGGGGGTCTGGATTCACGTGTTCTAATTTCACTGCCTTTCTGAGACCTAACTCGCTCTCTGAGCTTCAGGTCCCTCACCTGGGCAATAAATTAAGTCAGGAGAGTCCAGGGAATCAGATCATGTGGATGGACGCCCCTCACGATCTGTCAAGTACTCCTCAGGTGTTGGGGTTATTATTGCTGAAAGGCAATGTCCAGTCAGAATGCTGAGACCTGTGGATCAAGCAAGGCAAGTGAAGGAAACACAGGCTATGAGAAACCAAGTCACATGGGTCCCTCAGGGGTAACCTGGGTCCTTTGCAGAGAATACACATGCCAGCCTATTCTACACATTGAAGACAAGTCCTGTGATTGGAAACGCTCTGACTCCTTCCCCAACATGTCTTGGCCTTTGGCAAGAAAAACATTCTGTTTCTTTGGGGTCAGAGACTAACTCATTTCCCTCTTCAATGCAATGAGCACAAAGGCCAAAGCCAGTCCCCTTTACCAAGAAACCACAAACAGCGCTGAGAGTGGCGCCCTTCTGGACCGGGGGGGTGGGGAACATACATCTATGAATATTCATTCACTGTGCATTTAGGAGTGTTCTGTGTAAAGATCCTTTGAAAACTGATGAGAATTGGCATAAAAGGGTTTGATTAATTCCTGAGTCAGCTGGCCCCTGCCCGAGAACACATGCAATGGTTGTCATAGAGAGCTGGTTTACAAAGAACATGTTTCTGCAGATGTGTGGGCTTGCACTGCAGTGGCCTCCCACTCTCCGGCAAGCACAGCACAGACTCCGGGATGGGGCTGGGCCCTTAAGAATTAAGCCACAGATCCAAAACCCAAATTCAACTTCAGCTCCCTAAGGGAGCATCCTCCATGCTCACATTCCCTAAGATGCGAGGTCTGAGTATGAGGGACCTCCACCTGAAACTGCCGCCTCTTCCTCTCTGCTCACTGAGCTCCCACCTGTCCTGGACGGACCATCTCAGCCTCCTGCCTCCTGTGAAGGCTCCCCCAGCCGCTCCATCTCACCGGGATGCTTCATTCTGCAGTCACCGAACTGCTGGCAGATGCCTCCCATTTGAGAATTAATTACACACCTTGCCACCTTGTCATGCCTCCCTGCATTGTTGGCCTGTTTTAATAATGAGTTTCATTATCATTATTTAACTTTTCACATGTTCTTTCTCGTTCATTCACTCCCACACTCATTTTCATTCAACGAACCTATATCGAGCAGTAACATACCTTGACTAAGTGCTGAAGATGCAACAATAATGATGAAAATAATAATAATGTAATAACACTACAACAATATTTACAAACAACAAAATAATAATATTTACTGAGTTCTATACTCTAGCGTCTGGGCGAGACTCTACCTCACTTAATTCTCACCACAACCCTTGGAAGGGAGGTTTATTATTATCCCTATTTTACAAATGAGGAAACTCAAGTTCAAAAAGGTTCATTAATTTACCTGAGGCTACATTTATTACGTAGTGACTAATAGCACTGTCCCCCAGAAGTGAAGGGAAGGGCAACAAGCATATCTTGCTACCACACAGCTGCCCATGGTCTGTCCATGGTCTCCCCTGCCCCTGGCTCTGCCTGCCACCTCCCTTTATATGGTTCCCAGTCCAGCCTTTGCCCTGAGGTTGAAGAGAAGACATCTGGTCACCTGAGCTTGACTTCTTCTCAGCTTCAAGCTGTGAGTCCTCCCTAAGACTTCAGATGACTTGCCCCTGTTCTCTGGGTCAGTCAGAGGGCATAGAGGTGAGGTGGCACCTGGTGACAATGCAGAGAAGATTGCATTCCAAATTTGAATGCAGGACTGAGTAGAGAAAAGTTCACAGCAACAGTGAAAAGTAGACTTTCCAACAGTGTCTGTGTCAACAAATTCTGCGGGCAGAATTGTAGAAAGAGGAATAAGGCATGTGAAGGGGGAGGAGGCATGAATTAAAATCCATTTGTTTTGTAAAAGATACCATTTACTAAATGTCAGTGAGCTAAGCGATTTACAGATATTATCTTTTCTCCTTACAACACCCTGTGAAGTAGACAATTCACTGTCTCTATTTCAGAGAGGAGTGTCAAGGATTATGTAACTTTCCCCACTCTATGCTGCTGGTAAGTGGCAGAGCCAGGACTCAAACCAGCTTCAGCTGAAAGAAAAACCCATGCTCACAAACTGCCACAATGTACCACCTCATTCATTCATTCATTCATTCATTGTTGTAATAAGAATTTACTGAGCACCAATACTGAGCCAGCCAAGACTTATGTTACACATTGAAAATACAAAGACAAGTAAGACACAGTGTCCTTATGGAGCTTACAGACCACCAGGGACAAAGTCCCACCAACATCTCCATGTAGTATCACCCTCAGTTTTAAACACTAGATAAGCATAGCTAGGGGGACAGTGGAGGGCATGCTATAGAGGTAACAAAACAGCAAAAGCGAGCCTGAAAGAGAGCTGAGCTAGCTCACAGTTGGAGGTAATTTTGTCCCTCAGGGGATATTTGGGAATGTCTGGAGGCATTTTCACTTGTCACAGGAGGGGAACAGGACAGCAGAGGGAATGTGCTACTTTCATCAAGTGGGTAGAGCCCAGCGATACCCCTAAACATCCTACAGGGTACAGCACAGTCCCACAATGAAGAATTGTCTGGCCTAATTTTCCTGCTAAAAAGCAAGTTGAGAAATTGCTTTTGATATTTAATCTGGACCAACCCTTCATTTTGCAGATAAGAAGGCTGAGACCCTAGGAGGTTAAGGAATCTTGAATCTGAGTAGCCAGGGCACGCAGGACTTACTGTTGGGCAGCTGAGACGTAGCAGAGTAGAGCGTGGTGGTTCAGGCTCTGGAGACAGACTGCCTGGACTTGAATTCCATGTCTGCTTCTTACTATTGCACAACTTTGAGCAGGTCACTGAACCTCTCTGTGTTTTGGTTTCTCCATCTGTAAAATGAGGATAAAGACCTCACCTAGGACACAGTGTGGTTGTTCCAGTTATCTGTTGCTGAATGCACACCACCCAAAACACTGAGGTCTAAACACTCGTTTTAGTTTGCTTATAAGATTGTGGGTCAGGACTTTAAGCAGGCTCAGCTGGGCAGTTCTTAGATCCATGTGGTGTCACCTGGGCTGGCTGGATCCAAGATGGCTTTTCCTTTTCCATGTCTGGTGCCTCACCAGGAACAATTCAAGGCTAAGCTCAGCTGGCCCCTCTGCCTATCCATGGAATCTCTGGCCCCTCCCTGTGGCTTCTACAGTGAAGTACTCAAACTTCTTAAATGGTGTATAGCTTCTCTGCAAGCATGTCAAACTCGCGGCCTGAAGGCCACATGCGGCCCACAACAAATATTTTTGTGGCCCAGTCAATATAACGGTATGTAAGATATGTTTTAATTTAAAAATTTTGTAACTTAATTTTTACAATATCCTGTTATACATAATTATTAATAACGAACTACAACGTTCGCTAATGACTGGTTACTATAATTGTGTTGCATTCATTTCCCTTACGTGCCTTATTTGCAGGTGCATCATTTCTCTCCACTAATACTAGCAGCAAATATTTTAGCAGCCGATTTCCACGTCATTAGTCTTGGACTGACTTGTTTGGTGTGCGCAACAGGAAATATTTCGCTTTCAGAGAACAAAAAAAAATAGGTTTATTTGCGTTATGCTTATTAATTTATGCATTTATTCAATGTCTGGTAAGTTAATATTCAAGAAAAAAATTTATTAAAATGTTCTATTATTTTATGTTAACGATTATTCATTTATTTCAGCCCTTTGTATCCAGCATGTCTCTATCTAAATAAACCTACATTTCTATGAAAATTGAAGCTTTTGATTTTTTGCGGCCCACATAAACTTAAACCTTGTTTATTTGGCCCGTGTTAGCCTTTGAGTTTGACATGCTTGTCCTAGAGAGCATCCAAGAGCAAGTTCCAAAAGACAGTTTATAACAGGCACCTCCTAACTTCCACCATATTGTATTGGTCAAAGCAGTCACAGAGCCCGGCCAGATTCAAGGGGAAAAGTATCAAAGACTTTGTGGCCATCACAAATACACCTTGGTGGCTATGGAAATTGTGTTAATCCATATAAAACACTTAGAACAGTCCCAACATGAACAACCACTGCACATGTTTGCTATGGTTGACATCACCTTAGCAGTGGTAGTACATCCAAAAGCCTTGCTGGCAAGATCAGAGAAGCAGGACCTTTCACAACTGACTGCCTCCCTCCCTCCATAACCCTTCCAAAGAAAGTGGGGGTTCATGCCAGCAAGAAGGTATAATCCGGACCTGATATCTCAGCCTAGCATGGCAACTTTGGTCAAGGGCAGCCGACGACCTGATGTGGCTCCTGAGGGTGACTTACAGGTAAGGGTAAGGATTGTGCCCTTGCATAGAACAGCCAGTTCACCATCTGCTGCCTTGACTCACCATAGGCTTGTGTTGAACACATCTTGCTATGATCACCTCCTTTGCAAGACCTTCTGCTCCATGGTTTCCAGGTAAAGCCTTCAAGAAAAACAAAGATTGCATTTTCCAACTGTCTGTTGTCCTTTATGGTAAAATATTTCCTATATTTTTCTTTCTTCTCATCAAGATGAATCTATAAAGAGTTGAGCGTGCATGCATGCATTCATTCATTCTCACATTTAAAAACACTTGTTAAGCACTTACCAGTACTGTGTAACAGGCACTGAGCTACACTCCAAGAGTACAAGTTGAACAAGATAGACAAATCTTTGCTGACATGAAGCTAATACTTTAATGGGGGAGCCAAATGACAAATAAGTAAACAAAGAAGCAAATGAGCGAGAGACAGATTCTGATCACTGCTCTAAAGGAAGGGGACACGATAGAAGGGAACGTGAGGAGTCTCCTTTACTTAGATGGTAGTTTTGGAAGGGCTCTTTGAGGAGGTGGTATTTGAGTTTTCCAGCCTCTTAAAAATCCAGGGAAGAGAATTCCAAGCAACATGGATGCCAAAGACAAGGACACTGAGGTGAGAAAGGGCTTAATGTATCCCAGGTCCAAGGTTGAGTGTAGAAAGGAGAAAGGTTTATGAAGAGGTTCAAGTCTAGGCAGGGGTCAGATCCTGCTGGGCAAACTAGCCTGGAAACCCATGAAAACCAAACTGTAAAGGGAATTTATTGGCTCAACTAAAAAGTAGAGGCATAGCATGGGGTTACACTGGGCTCCAACAGTCAACAGGACTTGGTCCTTTCCATGTCTTAGTCCCCTTTGTTCTGAGAGGGCTTTAGCCCAGGAAGCCTTTGCCTATGGACGAGTTTCTGTAGCTCAGGCATACATACATCATCTTTACAGCCAGCAATTCCCAATGTTCTAGCAACAGTCTTATTGGATCAACTCAGATGTGTTCATCTCTCAATCAATCTCTATGACACAGGAAAAGAATATGCTGATTGTCCATGTTAGTATTACATACTGACCCTTTGATACAGGGAGTGAAGTAGAGTCAGCCTGCCAAGATCACTTGCAGTGAGAACCAGAGAGTAAGTGGCATTTAATCTGAGAACAGTTCAAAAGGTTATTTTGACTGCTGGGTAGAGAAAGTTTGGAAGGATTGAAATCAGAGAGCTATTACAGAATGGCAAGTGGGAGAATGAATAAATGCATAATGCACGCTCAACTCTTCATAGATTCATTTTGATGAGAAGAAAGAAAAATATAGGAAATATTTTACCATAAAGGACAACAGGCAGCTGGAAAATGCAATCTTTGTTTTTCTTGAAGGCTATTACAGAATGGCAAGTGGGAGAGATTGGTGCCTCAGACTCAGGGTGGCAGCTGTAAGAGTCAGAGACTTGTGGACAGACTTGAGATTCTATTTCTGATGGAGTGGAAGTGGGGAAACAAGTGAAAGAAGAAGTCAAGCATGATTCCCAGGATTTTGGCTTGCTCACCTGGATGAATCATGATGCCATTTACCAAGAGGAGAAGGACATGGGAGGTGGAAGGCAGGGACAAGTGAGGAGGTAAAAAACAAAAGTTCCATTGTGAATGTGTTCAGTTTTAGGTTCCTGTAGATGTTGAATAGGTAGTTGAATGTGCAAGTCTGGAATATAGAAGAAAAGGAATCATCAGTAGATAGACATTATTTAAACAAGAAAGACTGAATGAGATCACCCAGGAGAGCATGTAGATAGAGAAAAGAAGGGGGCATTCATGCTACTTCCCCAACAATTGTTCCGCTCTCCCCAAACTGCTTTACTTGGGTTTTAGGCAAATATGGGCTCTCCTACCCTTAGATTGTGTGTGTGTGTGTGTGTGTGTGTGTGTCTATGCATGTGCCATTCCCTCTGCCTGCAATGACTTCTGTTCTCTCCCCTGTACCCCCAAATAAGGATCAGCTCAAATCTACCTTCTATAGCAATCCTTGCCTCTGTTAGCTGCATTGCAAATGTCAGCCTCTTTGCTTCCTATAACTTTCTTTTTTTAAAATGTATCTGGCAAAATTTATTAGTTTTTGAATAAAATACAAAATTTAGTATTTAATAAGATACATCTGCCTTTCTTTCCTGCACTTACGTGTGGGTTTTTTGTTTTTGTTTTGTTATTGTTGTTGTTTGCTTCCTATAACTTCCATTGTCTATTCACCACACATTTGACATTTACAAAACACTGTCCTCTGTGTGTGCATATTTCCCTCAAAAAGATTTTAAACTCTGAGAAGGCAATCTGCAAACCTTTATGCTCCCAACCTGGCAGATTGCCCAGATAAAAAGTTAAAACAAAGATCTGTTCGTCAATGATAACACTCACTCATACTTTGTTTTGGTAGTTTTTGTTCCAGTGGCTGGGAATTCATCTCAAACTCCTATGCTTGGTGAGACAGCAGCTCAGCAAGGGTGTTCCAATCAATGCCCTGAGCATGAGGCAGCAATTGTCCAATGCTTTAAAATAGTTATGGCAAATAAATGCTTGTGGCAAATAAAGAGTACATGACTCAATCCATATTGAAAAGAACCAGATGAAAGTAGTTTCCCACAGAGGGAAATCAAAGATTTAAAATGAGCACCTAGGAAGCACTTCAACTGTTTCTGCATCTATTCCTGAATAATATTCCACTTTGTCGGAACACATCTCAGTGTGTTTGTGCCCATTTAGCACTCCTGCCTCCCTTCCCAGCAGAGGTTTCATAACTTACAGTCCATAGTCATTCCAAAATGTTTCCAGGTGGATTCTCAAGCTCCAGACGGCTCAGTCAGCACCGGGGATGCTAGGGAGCCCCACTTTTTCAATTTTTCTGGTTGAACTATGAAACACCTCCCCACCTCACTTCTCCCCCAAACTACCCCTAAATTATTCCAAGCTGTATTTGTCTCAACCTGGAATTCCAATAGTCTCCTGCTCTTTCACATGCTCTCCATCTGGGCATCTCTTGATCAACTATGCAGAACAGAGTTCTCCAATTAGGCAAATCAACCTTCAATTCCCCAATTCTCTTTAAAGCTGCAGCAAGCACACCCACAACAACTCCAGTGACCACACTGAAGAAAGTTGAGCTGGTCTGATGCCGTTTTCCAAAGACAACTTTTGCTACTGATTAAGTCATATCTGCCTGTTTTCCAGAGCTCATATTATTTTCCCTTTTTGACACATGACTCACTTCAAAACTAGTATCACTTGAGTCTGCCAGTTGAATGTGACCCTTCATTTTTGCTTCTAGGATGTCCAGCTGCACAACAGATGCTGTGCGGTGGAAAAGGACCCATTTTAGAACAGGCTTTCTGGATTTACCACTTACAATTGCTGCGTGACCTCCAGCTAGTGAGTCTGAGTCTGTTACCTTGCACACAAAAAAATGAAGATTAAAAACACTTTGAAGTACGGACGGGCATACCCCAGTGGAAGACCACCACAATAAAGAGTATTACAACAAAGTCATAATTTTTTTGCTGGTGGAGGATCTTGCCTTCAATTTGAAAAAACAAAACAAAAACAACTCAGCATTTGTGAGGTACAATAAAGCAAAGAGCAATAAAAACGAGGCATACCTGCACTGTTGTGAGGATCAAATGAAATGGCATAACAGAAGTGCTTGGAATTAAACCTTGCATAATATAAGTAGGGGCTCAGCAAAGGATAAGTTGACCCATGTGAAATTGCCATTTACATAGGTCCAAAATGGCCAATATTGACAATTTCACATGGTTCAACCAGCTATTAGCCTGATATTTAAGCATTGAGGAGATCAGTGTCCAATTGGCTGGAATATTGAGTACAGAGGAGGTGAAACCTCAGAGTTGACTCTTATTTAAATCATCAAAGATTTAAGGAATGCCAGCACCCTGCTAGGCGCTTTAAATTCGGGGAGATTTTCTTGACTCTGAGCTGGCAGTTAAGCAAAGCTAATTTAAGAGCCAGGATAACTATGTGGTTAGAGTCTAGACTCTGGGGAGTGATTTTTTTTAAATATATTTTATTGATTTTTTACAGAGAGGAAGGGAGAGGGATAGAGACTGAGAAACATCGACGGGAGAGAAACACTCCCTACTGGGGATGTGCCTGCAACCAAGGTACATGCCCTTGACTGGAATCGAACCCAGGACCCTTGAGTCCACAGGCCGACGCTCTATCCACTGAGCCAAACAAGCTAGGGCTGGGGAGTGATTTCTTGGTTGCAGGTAGCTCTGCTACTCACCAGCTTTGTGACCTTGAGTAACTTTGTTAAATAATCTGAGTCTCAGTTTTCTCCATGACATGGGATCACACAAGGTTGTTGTTAGGATTAAATAAGTTAATGTATGTAAAGTTCTTAGAACACTGAAGTGTTAGTTATCATTAACTTGATTGAAAATAGGTGGTTTGGCCTGATAAGCCCCATGGACAGAAATCAGAACCCGAACAATGGAAAATCAGCCTTGCCTTCTTGATCAGCCCCAATATAACAGCTGGGACACCCCTTAGGAAGCTCAGGAATGGAGGATGAAACCACCCAGGAAAGCTCAGTGAGAATCGTCCCAGCCAATGGCATTGCATACTCTCTCCTGGTGTTTCAAGGGAAGGGCAGAGAACTTTGTAGTTACCCAGAGCAGAAGTGACTAACACATGCCCTACAGAACCCAGTGAAAAAAGATGATAGGAGATGAAAGGGAGGGGAAAGAGCTATCACACACCAAGAAGAAATATACTCTGCTCATTCTAGTGGGAAATGAAAACATTATTTGAATCCACCATTTATTTAGAATCTCATATTAATTAGGACAAAGACATTGTAAGGAAAATGATAATAATGTCCTATGGGTTTTCTCATAACCACTTTTATGTATATTATTTGACTACACACACACACACACACACACACAACCTGTGAGTCAGGTAGGTGAAGCCAGCACTCTATTTAAAGATGAGAAACTGAAGGATCAGGGAGCTTAAATGACTCACTCAAGCCTACCTGGGCAGTAGGTGATGAAGCTGGAATTTTAGTCCCTTAAAGGCAGGGCCATGTTTATCTTTGTTCTTCCCAGCACCGGGCACCAACCTCACATTTATTGAGCAATTGAATGGGGGTGGGGAAAGGCTGTTCCTAGAAAACAGACTCACTTTCTCAGGCTAGTTCAGGTTCTCAGTCTAATGGCTCTAATGCTCATACTTTGTAGAGTCCTGAACCTGTAGTTGGATAGTAATTCAGAGGCATCTAAAGGAGGCAAAGGAAAGAGTTTCAACAGTGTGTGCTAGGACAGATTATAGTACACATAATCAGCATTTAAAAATGCCCTTCTCCATAACTCTAATAACAGGTGAGACTATCCACCCATACTTCTCAGGCTGCCATTTTATAATCTATTTGCACATCTGAAAACTGAGGAGATAAAGTTTATAAGCTATATGCTATATACATTTGCTTAGTAAATACACAATTTGATTTGCCCCGAATCTCATTAGGGAAAGATCTGGCAGAGCACTTAAAATCTCAAGAGGGCCCAGCTGATGTTGCTCAGTGATTGAGCACTGACCCATGAACCAGGTGGTCATAATTCGATTCCTGGTCAGGGCACATGTCCGGATTGTGGGCTCAATCCCTAGTAGGGGGAGTGCAGGAGGCAGCGGATTGGAGTCTCTCTCTCATTGATGTTTCTATCTCTCTATCCCTCTTCCCTCTCTCTCTAAAAATCAATAAAAACATTTAAAAATCTCAAGAGGATCTTTCAATAAACATATTTTCTTCTTGGACCTCTGAATGTAAGAGAAATCTGAGATTGAGACTGGGCAGTCTCAGGCCTTGCTTTGGGTTTTCCCTTAATGTAAAGGATACTCCCCCTCCATCAAGATGCAGGGAAATATGTAATTCTAAGTGTCCAAGTCCTCCCACCCCCCACTTCTGTTTCCAAGAGTTTTTTGGGACTCTGAACTGATGGTAGGATAAGATGAGAGGGTGGCTCTCCAAATGGAGCATGCTCAATGGAGGAGTGGGGAGCCTGGAGGCATCACGACTCTCTGGAAGATAAATGGGCTCTGTGCTTTCTGCTGTTAATGGTGGTCCCTCAATGTCTAGGAAGGAGAGTGACATATATAGCAATGCCATGCTGATACAACTTCCACTGGGTTTCCTGGTTCTGGTAACAGACAACGTTTGCTACCAAGGGATAAATATTTGCAGTTTTTATTTGCTATCTCTGTAGTCAGTGATTCTAATCTGTTTGTGATGAGTGGAGAAAATCCTCAGGGTATAAATTTATTTAACTTATCTTTGCTCTCTTGAATCCTTCAGAATTTCCTCTTTATCTTTCTGCAAAGTTGCCCACAATGTGGAGTAGGATGTGTGTTTTCCTCATTCTGCAACTTTAGAAAATTTTATTCTTTCATTTCTTCCTCTATACTCTCGGTCCTATCCTTATGAAACTCTTATTAGAAGGCTGTTGGAATTACTGGATCTGTTTTCCAAGTCTCTTAACTCTTCCCTCATGTGTTTTTCTCTTTGTCCTTTTGCCCTATGTTCTGGGTCAAATTTTCAGGTCAATCTTCAGGCTCACATATGCTTTTCATTCGTGTCATTACTGCTCTTCATCAGAGTATTTTTAGTAATGAAGCCAACATAAGAAAATTGCAAAAAAGAACGTCATAATGATCAAAATAAATGGAGATACTTACCATGTTTGGATATGAAGACACTGTAACACAGAAGTGACAATTTTCAAGTTAACCTATAAATCCAAAGCAATCCTAGTAAACTGTCTTTTTTAAAAAAATATATTTTATTGATTTTTTACAGAGAGGAAGGGGAAGGGATAGAGAGTTAGAAACACCAATCAGCTGTCTCCTGCACACTCCCCACTGGGGATGTGCCCGCAACCAAGGTACATGCCCTTGACCGGAATCGAACCTGGGACCCTTGAGTCCGCAGGCCGGCGCTCTATCCACTGAGCCAAGCTGGTTAGGGCTAGTAAATTGTCTTTAACAGACAAGCTATCTAAAGTTTATTGGAATATGTTTCAAGAATGAGGATTTTTATCTCCTCTTCTGCTTAAGACTCCACTAAATTGATAGTTAAGGAACTACATCAACAAAAAGAAAGTAGAAACCTGTATAAGACAAAGAGAATAAAGAAGATGAAAGCAGACAAAAGAATTAAATGCAATTTTAGAAGATAGGACCAGATAGAGGAGCAGTGAGTGATTTCACATGGCAGAGGAAGCAATGATCTAAGCCACCCGGAGAGGCATAACCACTAATAAGTGAGCCAATTCACCTGATGGAAAACTGTGAGATGCTCAGCTTTGGAGACAGTAGGTACAATGAAGGGCTGGGTTGAGCTGAGGAGCTAAAAACAGACGTTGTTGAAAGTTTGCTTTTGGAGTAGTCATATCCTTCCCTCTCCTCACAAAGTAAGGCTACTCATTTCCAAGTCTAGTGACTAAAGAGTTATATTCTGCTGGGGGCTAATTCCAGCAGGTCATAAAGTTCATAAAATGTTGATGGGAACTTGAGGCTTCAGCAGGGCTGAATAATATTACCTGTTGCTGGAATAGCTGAAAGCATTTCCCCAAACCTGAAAATCTGCATATATTATTGCCTGCTGCCAGACAGCTGAAAGCAGTTTCCCCAACCTGATAATTTTACTGTTTACCAGGCCTTACCTTTGATATGTATATCTGCTTGGCTATAGGGCAAAAATGTGTGAATAAAAAAACCCTGGGTCCAGAGATTCAGAGATACCTTAGTTACTAAAGCTAAGCTTCCCTGGCTCCCCCATGTATTCCAAATTTTATATCTCATGTCAAGTCTCTTTATTAATTAGCCCTTCTCCAGATTCCTGAACCCTTCTAGATGCTGAGTAAGACCCCGACAATTTTTTGTATAATTTAATGATGAAGGCCAAGACTTAGGGATACCCAGATGAAGGCAGCAGAGGGGAGGTACATGGAAGTCAGCAAAAGAAATGCACAAATTGCCCTCCAGGCTGACAGACACATAAAGAATATCAGAAAATTCTTTTTTGACAAACTAAATGTCCCTAAAGAAAAAACTTCCAATTTTTGGGTTTCTCCTTCCATCTCTCTTTCCTTCCTTCCTTCCTTTGTCCCTCCCTCCCTTCCTTCCTTCCTTCCTTCCTTCCTTCCTTCCTTCCTTCTTATGAACTCCCTGCTAAATGGAGCCTACAGGTTAACAAGTCCTGCCTACTCACTCAGAGCCTCCAAGCAATATTTTGGAGGCTCACTCTTAAATATGAACAGAAAGCCAAGGCTCCCAGGCAACTGAGGAAAACTGCAAACATGGAAGAGAAAGATAGCCACAAGAATAAAGAAAAAAAAATCTGAAGGAAACAAACAGAGAAGGATATTTAAAAATCTACAACCCTAGAGAAATAAGTGAAGTGAATGTATTCTTATACCCAGAAGTAGAGGTTATGTAAAAGGATAAATAAAAAAACAAGAAATGAAAATTTCTTCTGGAAATAAAAATTTAATTAAATTAAAACATTCATTGGAAAGATTGAAGAATAAAGTTGAGGAAATCTTCTAAAAACTAGCACAAAAAGACATTAGCACAAAAAAATAGAAAAGAAAACATAATTAACATAAAGGATGAATCCAACCAAAATGATTTCTTAAAATAGAGAAGTGAGAAAACAGAGAGGTGGAAAATATGAAAGTAAGATGACAAACTTTTTTAGCAGTAAAACAAAAATCTCTGGATGGTAAATGTCTTTTTTATGCCCAAGAAAATGGATAAAATAAAATCCTTATAAAAGTATGTAAATTGTGAGATGTCAGAGTTCTGG